AAAAATGTATGATTATGAGAAAGAAGACAGTCTATCCTTAAAACAATGTGATCATGTTGTTTACTTCTCTTTTTTTTCTACCAAAACCTCTTAAGTCAAAATAGATCCAGTCCTTATCTACAATATATGATATTCTTCCAGTATCTCACTATGTAGCCAACTTTTCCATGCTGCCTGATGGATATATTCTAACACGAAACTGGATTTTGGCTCACTGAAACAGATGAATAAATAATAGTCTTTGTGACCTGCTGATTTATTATGGACTCTGAATTTCATTCAGGATCACATGCTAATTGGCTGAGTGAACCTATGTAGTTTTTCAATTTGCTAGTTTTGTAGTCTCCATCTAAAAAACACATTATGAGAGGTTTGATTCAACATGTCTGATTATATTTTATGCATTTGTCACTTATTAATTTATGAAACTTATAAAATGTTATCATTAAGAAAGTAATTGTCTTTCTTTTATCCTTAGGAAAGTAATTGTCTATCTTAACAGTCAGTGCTCTCATGGGCTAAAATATTGTATCGTTGCAGAGGTTACCCTGGGCTGGAATGAATGCTGGCAGGAAGGAGACACAGAACAAGTTTCTCAAGGGAAAAATGCCACTGTAAAAGATAGAGAGAAATAGAAACTGGAGAGGATCGATTTTTCTGAGAATAATAAATGTGCAGAAAAAATGTGGACAAGGAAGAGAGGTCTCCATTTGATATTACAGTAAATTTTTACATTTTCATTTCTTCTTCCACTGCTGTGTAAAAAGCACCCAGTGCTCGAAACAACTGGGTTTGCTTTTAAGAGCTGAACAACCTGGTCTTGGTCTGTAATTTAGAAAGCAGGACAGTGAGTGAGAAGTTTTCTAACAACTATTTTTGTTCTATCCCAGCAAGTCAGGAAGAAGGGCCTCCTTAAGACTGCAGGATGYGCTGAAATGATGTGTGCATCCACATAAATGAGCTCCCAGGGTTTTTTGCTTTGTCTTGCTTATATGCAGATATGTAAGGACCTTGGCACTGTGGTCTGCGTTTATGTGTCACAACATATGCTGTAGAAGTAACGAAGCGCTTTCTCTATGACAGAAATGCTTTATTTGAAGCAAATGGTTTTATTTTAAAAAAAGTTTGAAAAACTTTGAAAATGGGTTGGAATTTAAATCTAGACGCCCCACCCCCTACCTYATCCTCACCCCCTCACCAAGGAAAAGCGTACCTGACCAGCCTGGCTTTAACTGAATCATCCAGTTCAGTAAAAAAATGYTGTCCTTCGAGTGTAGGCTTTTGTTGTTGTGAGATCTTTTTTCAATGTTACTTTTTTTTCTTTTTTAATTTATAATCTGTCACGTTTTATATCTTGAATATGAAGCACGTGCTTGCAGTAGTCAGGTAGATTTGATTAGTTAAGCAGTGTCTGTTGTACAGAACAAAAAGATTTTTGCTGTATAAAAGGCATTAGGATCCATCCCTAGATCCTTTCAAGCCTGTGAATTTGTCAGCGGCTTCTGTGGATATGGGTTGATGAGAAATAGGGCAATGTGAATAGTCTGCTGCCCTACTTTCCCAGTTTTGTTGCTTTGTGCCTGGAAGCCAGTAATGTATTCTGCATTGCTGCAGGAATTTTTGCCAAAGATGCTCTTTTGAATATACATCTTAATGTTCGTTCTTGCATTAAAATATTTCCTTAGGCAAGCGTGAGGCTACTGAACTGCACTGAAAAGATTCTATAGTGTTATCACTACTGAACGTGTCATTCGTGTTCAAATGGAACAGATGCTGCTGATTAGCTCTGCTATCTATGATCCAGGTTAATATATATATTATTTTTTACAAGATCTTTGCACTAGTACAACATTTCTCATAATCTCACATCTTTATTTTTAGCTGAACGCTATTGAACAGCACCACATACAGAAGTGAAGTGTCAGGAACTCCTGCTTTCAAAGTATATTTCAAGCAGCAAACCACACAATTTAAAGTTATCCAAGTCATCWTGCTTACCGTGCATCACATTGCTTAAAAATCGAATCAGCCATGGACAGGCTTTAGCTATCCCTGTAAGCCAGGACAGGCTTCCTACACACAGTTTCTTCACTCAGTCACCTCATGGTTAGTTCTTATAAAGCTCTTTCTGAACTAGATGAAAATTTTAATTTCCAGAGAAATTTTGCAGAGAGGCAAAGGAATTTTAGGCTGGTACTAGATTCATAAAACTGTGTAAGCAGTTTCTAAGTAGTTTTCTTTTTAGTTAGGTAGAATCATTATATTTATTGTCATGTAATGTAAGTTGTTGATATCTAAATATAAGGTTCCCTGCTTTAGAGACACTGGTTTCAATTGCACGCTAGAGACATGAAAGACATTTTGCAAACATTTTTGAATAGTGTGAATTCAGCTCTAATGCACTGAAAAATACAAATTTTAGATGATATTTTTAAATACTGGATAAAGGCAAAWTTAAAATTGCCTAGTTACAAAACCAACTGCAAGTGTTTTCCATTTTAGTAGCGTTCCTATAGTGTCATAGTGTCATATTTTAGGGAGGAATATATTTTTCTTTGTTTATTTTATGCTGCTATTTTAAGGAGTAGCATATAAGCACAAAAACATCTTCCATAAAACAGGAAAAAAAGCAATTATTGGATGAGATATCAGTTGGGAGTATAGGGAATTATTTGTCTATAATTAGAATTTATTCTGTACATATCCATACACAGCTGTATACCTAAGTGTGTGCAGTAAGACAACAAAAAAAGCTAGCAAGAGGGACCTACTTTAGGTTATAGGGGAGTAGTAATCATGTTTGCAGGTTATTTGATAGCTATGAGAAGCACAATAATTGAAAACTGGTCAAAGGGAGCTTATCCTCCTATCTGATAATAACTGTCATGCACAGCCATAAAATAGTTTCATTAGTGTCCAGGGCCCCCTCAGTGTATCATTGTAATGCCCTGTGCTAGGCAGTAAAACCTGTAGTACCTCAGTGCTTACGAGCAAGGGCAGGGCAGCATCAGCAGGGAGGCTTGAGGTGCCTCGCGTGCCTTCGCCTCACCCAGCTGCTCTCATYGCTTGCCCTCATTTTTATGCACTGCACTAGATATGCTTTTTTAGCTCATCTCTATCAGTACTGTATATTTAAGGAGGTCTTAAGTAGTTATTATTTTGTGGGTTATTTAAAAAAAAAACTTTTTTTTTCATTTTAGTGAACCCAGATGGATGCTGATGGTGTAGTCTAAATACACTGTTAATGGTTTTGGGTGGTGTTGCCTATGCATTGTTGCAATGGTACAGTCTGCTGTTCCTGGGGCATGTGATCTTTGCTTTACAGGTCAGTGCACCTTTAATTGCCCTAATTAGATTAACTCCAAAAATATGGTGTTCTAGAAAGACAAAGGATGGAAGAAATCTGGTTGTTCAGTCAACTCAGACTCAGCAAATTGCACAGCACTTCTTTGTCATCTGATTAGCTGATAGCATGTTGATATATTGCAGGCAATTTCACTAAAACACAGGTTTTGTGAATTTGATATAAACATTCTGTAGGCAAGGATGAGAAAAGTCTCTGGCTAAGGAAGGAACTGATGGAACCTTGAAATATGGTCGCTGGTCTCATGTGGTAGTTGCTTARCTGGGTGATGGGCTATGTGCTTGAGGTTGGAAGCTTCTCCTGCTGTAGGAACTAATAGTAAATAGGAAAGGGAGCCTTTGCCTTGGTCTCAAGGCATGCGGCCAGCCTTCCTGGGCAGTGCTCTCTCGAGGAGGCAAGGGCTGTTTTGGGGGCTTTCTTGGCTGTTGTGGTTGTCTGTGGGCAGCGGTGCTGCTGCAGGAGGGGGCCCAGGACTGACCTGGGCCCTGATGAGGGGGCTGAGCTACAGCCCTTGTGCTCCTTCATTTGCAGCCAGTGGCTTGAGGGGCACTGAGGGGGGAGACTCCAAGGGCTGGGGTTGTTTCATTGGCAGTGATGTTTCAGAAATATGCCAAGCACCTTAGAGCTGCTTGTTTCCCTTCTAAATAGCTGCTACCGCTGCATAAGCATCTATCAGCAAACGCGTCAACCTCTTCTAAGCTGGTATTTCTTTCCAGAGGCCTTGCCAAAAGACAAATCTGTGCTGAGGCAGCACAAATCTAATTAGCTAAGACTGACTTCATTTTCTAATTGTAGAAATTCTGTCAAGTGTATTTAATGCTGAGATATAGCCAGCCTAGTGATGGCAAGTTGTATTGACCAGAAAACAGCACAATTCCAAAGTAGTCATCATCTAGAAAAAAATGATATGAAGATAGGCCTGGCTCTGCCCACCCATTGCATTAGTTCGGCGATGGCAAAATCAGCGCTTCTGAACCTCTATGAGTAGATTGGCAAAATGTATAGAGTGAACTCAGTTTCTCCTTTTAATTCTCTATGTTCCAGGAGCTTTTAGGGTATGTTAGTGTAGCTACCCTGGGCAGCTGCAACCGTGCTATAAGACATGATACGAGTTTCCTTAGATGGAGAATGGGCTAAATCCAGTCTGTGCAGTCATCATCCTGCTTGGTAACTGGAAATGAATAATCTGCTGAAGCTTCCTGGGATGCCAAGTGGTTTGTGMATTGAAAGTCCGCTCTCCCCTTTTACTGCACAAACACAGCTCTGAGGAAATGGTGCCATCCTTTATTCATAGACCACTTTATTTGCAAGGTGACGGGGAAAAAAAAAAGTTGTAGAAATGAAAAGCTTTGTTTTGGCAAAGCATTCAAAAGGCATCTGATCAGCCTAATTGTTTTTTGCAGCAATTACCGTGCTGACTATTTTGGGGGATAATCGCAGCAGTGCATAGAATGCAATTTGAATGTTAAGAAACAGTAATGTGGAAAAGAAGCTATTTATGAAAAGGAGTAAACAATAACCTTACATTATTTTTGTCTAGACAGGAGCCTTATTTTAGATGAAGATAAATAACATCCCTTAGACATGATGTATTGTGAATGTATTATGATCCTTTCTTTTTTTTTCCTGTTTGTAGGATCTGTGTTTACACTGAAAGTTCAAGTAAACGACATCATCAGTCATCAGTACCTGCAACAGGCAACTGTAGAGGTGTTTGTTAATTATACGAAGACAAATTCTACTCTTACTGGAAGCAATGGAGCAGTATTAATAACAGTTCCATATAAATTAGGATTAAGTTTAACTATTGCTTCATACAAAGATGGCTACCTGTTAACACCTTTGCCTTGGAAGACTGGGAAAATGCCAAGTGCGTAAGCCTCTTGCAATCCCATTATTAACCTCTATCTGTAGGTGATAGAAATTCTTCTCTTCAGCAGTCTGTCTAGTTAATGTCCACTGAAAATGATAGAGTGAAATCAGTTCAAGGAGATTTTGCCTGCCAGTGCAGATAAAAGGGTGACAAATCTGTTAGATTTCTTAAAGTTTATTTTTAMTGTAAAAGCTGAAAACACTCCTTTCTAAGTCTGAATAGGTTATATTGCTATATCGTGAGTGTATTCAGAGAAGTTGTTTATTGACTTTGTTAATAAAGGGCTGGCTCTGTGTTTTGACTTTGTCAAAAATCATGTTTTCTCTAATGATTCCTGCAGTGTCTTAGCTCARCTGTTGCATTGGGTACTACTCTGTTGTTACAGATCTACTTTGGCAGTGTTTCCCAACGAATTTTCCACTATACAGYAATTTCAGTTTGTTTTTGCAAAATACTTCCATAATTCTGAAGAAGAGAGAAGTGAGGTGGCCTATCCRTAATATTCTAGCCACTTCTTTCTCAAGGGAAAACAGTAGTGCCATATAGATCTCCCTGTCTAACCAATGTAATTTACACTCAAGACTAGAGGAGTTACTTACTTGTCCTGTTTTTAGACATTTTCATCTTTTTGTCTGCTTTCTTCACCATTCCTTCACAATCATGCAACCTTCTGGAAGATTTTGAGATGCCTGCATGGGATAATATAATTTTATCATTTTCCACAGTATACTCGTCTGTGACGCTTTCCCTGTTTCCACAAAGTCCAGCTAATATATGGCTGTTTGAAGATACTGTTTTAATTACTGGAAAATTTTCTGGTAAGCTCGGTACATGCAGACTGTACGCTAAGCACTTTGTATGTGTACATATATACATAAGGGGTTTCCTTAAAARTAACTTGTTGAGACACATTGATATTCTCTTTCAAGGGTAACTTTGTCAACCTTTGTAATCCTGTGTGGAAAGTAAAGGTTACTTATCCAGTGGCTTCTTGAGCTGTCTTTTCCACAAGAAAAAATAGATATTACCCACCTACTCAAGGCCAGATATTCAGATAACTCTGTAGTGTGACAGATACCAAACTAGTAATTTACAGCATCTGGAGAAAGTTTATTATGAAAAAACTCTTGTGCTGAGTATATTTCAGAGCACTAATAAAAATACTGGTTGTCTTTTCACCATCACTGTCAAAATATTGCTCTCTTTTTTTTTCAGATGCCAAATCTCAACCAAGTGTTCAGTTTGCAAAGTTTTTAATAAAACTTCCAACAGATTACCATTTTACAAATGTTACAGCCTATCTGACAGTGCCAGAGCAATTTTTAAAAGTGGATGGCTTTTTCTACACAACAGGAATTCTTCTAAACAAATCAGGTATAGTAGAAGTGTTATTTAACATTTTTGGTATGTAAATTGTAGGAACTTGAAGAAGGCAGTGGAATGGTGGTTTTATTTTTTCTATGTTTTCACTGGAATTCTTGGATCTGGCTTTAGGAGCTTTACACCTAGCATAAATATTTTACAAAGGCTATAACTTGGCTCACAGATAATTCATCTCTGTAAGCTTGTATAAGCATGGTAATATGTTTTCTACACACCTATTTCACTGAGGAACATGTGAGTGGTTTCATGAGTTGTCATAACTCTGCTCTTGCAATCGAACCTCTTAATATAAAAGCATAATGTACATTTTTATATAGTGATAGAATAATAAATATTTTTTTTATTTGGATAATAATCTCAGGAAAATCATACTGCTTATGGTTCCATTTCCCATTGTTATTTTCTTTCTAGTCTCAAAGGACCCAGAGCCATGAGGCTCTTCAAAATTTTGTTTCACGATGTGATGAAGCTTCTACTTAGTTCATTTGAACTTTGGATGCTCTCTTTAATTTTCATTGAGTTAAAATCATCACATACGTTACTATTTCCACTTACATACATATTCTTAGTACCTTTAGCATTTGTGTTTCACCTCTTTAAACCATGAGAGTATAAAGCAGTGTTTTTTTCTCTTCCAGTTTTCCTTTCACATCTGTCTGGCATGTGTGTTAAATTATTCATACACTCCTAAAGGAATAGGCTTCTTTCTAGGGTAGGTAGAAGCTAATTGGCATCCCATGCACCAACAGATTTCTCTGCACCAGCTTCCAACAGCTTGCATACATTTAACATTATTCTGSTACTTAATAATTCTGTTTCAGCTTCTCTTCACCATACTGACACACTGTGGCTTCTGAAGGGTTTACAAATAAGTGTAAGGAAAACAAAGGAAACAAACTTTCTTGCTGCACTGTAAATCCTTGTATATGCAGTTTCCTTTGAGTGCTTTGACAAGCCTTGTGATTAACTCTTCCGTTAGTTTTAACTACCAAATTAGAAAGTTAATCCTTACAGAGAAGTTTATTAAGAGAACTGTTTGACTAAGAGAAATGTAGCAGCTGTATGTTTGCAGCATATCTTCAGTTTGTGTTATGTATACTGTAAATGGCAATTACACAAACATTCTTATATCATCTCTACCTCACATAGGTAGTTTCAGTGTGTGTCCTAAGTTGTCTGAAAGGAAAATCCTTTTTTCCTCCTATTCCCTGCCATCAGATTTTGCTGACTGATTCAGCTATGTTGAACCTGTGTGTCAAAGGTCCATTTCTCTTTTTACAGATTTAGCAATGACTAAATGTATTTTTATCACAAAATTTAGCAAGAAGCTTTTTCAAAAGTTGAAGAAATATTGTTTGATCAAGTTTAATGATTTTTAACTGTGTAGCTGGGTCCTAATGAGAGCTTTCCTTCAGTTATAATGATGATTGTTTCTTGATATTTATTAAGAACAATACTATGAAAGGACTACTACAGATAAAATATTTCTTTATATTTAGGTTTCAGAAGCATTGAACTGACACCTCTTGCTGCAATATGTGTAAATGTTCTTTTGGCTGGGAAAGAACTGAAAGTCAATGGTCCTATTCATATTACACTTCCTCTTCCTGCAAGTAGTGTAAAATTAGGAGAAGCTATTCCTGCATGGACATTTGATATGAAAACTGGTAAGTGTGCAAAGTTATTGTTTGTTCCACATAGCCTCAAAAAGAGGCAGATTAGAGTCTAAGCCAGGACATGCCAGGTAGGGTGTATGTGTAGTGGGGAAGGTAGGCATATGGGCACTGGGATTGGGTGAGAGCCCAGGGCATGGCAAACTAACCCACCACCCCCAAAACCTGTGTGATTTGCTCTTGCCAGGGGGACCTCCCCAATAGAGGCAACTGTTTCTGCAGGACGGGCGTTGAGCTGTAGCACGTGCACAGAGCCTGAGCCCTTCACTGCCGCTTCATGAGGAGGGCACAGAGTCCTGTGGATAACGGGGGAGATGTTCCTAATGTAACTTGAACTAACTTCCACATTTTCTGATTTTCACATATTTCTTTTAATTAAGTTGCTGATGGTTTTAGATATAGAGGAGTGCTACAGCATGGCTAAAACTGCCTTTTTTTTCAGGTGCTTGGGTTAACCGGGGACTGGGAATGGTAAAAGAAGCAAATCATCAATTAGTATGGACCTATGTTGCCCCACACTTGGGCTACTGGATAGCAGCTCCACTGCCTGGAACAAGAGGTACTACAGACAACTAGAAAAGAAACTGCTGAATAACCCAAATAATGRTTTCCATTAACAATAGAAAGAGAAAAATGAGGTACACTTTGAACATAACTTGGAATTCTGATAGGGTATCCTTGTGCAGATGAGACTTGGGTTGAGTGGTCCCAGTAGATGCCTTATTATTTAGACCTCCTGCACATTTGGATTTTGCTAATTCTTATGCGGAAGTGCTTGCAGGAGATACGTGATGTCAAAATTGAATACTAGCACTCGACAGAACAGAAGCACTAGACAGAAAATACAGACCATGCTTTTAAATAACTTTGGAAATCTAATTCCAGTGTAACTTGACTGGAATTGAGGCGGCGTCATGGCAATGCTTCAGTGTTCGAGACGAACCCTCAAAGGTCCATTATATGGAACTGCAGTCTGTGTATTTTTCAAACTTGCTGAGACTGCAAGGTGAAAAAGGAGCACAAATCACTGGAAAAGTGCAGTGTAATTTATCAGAGACAACTCCACACATAAAGTCAAAATCTTTGTTTTTTGAAAACTAATTCTTTCCTGTTTTTATCTTTGAAAATCTAGAATCTATTATTAGTGCGGTTTCCAAGGACATAACAGCCTATCACACAGTGTTCCTTACAGCCATTTTGGGAGGTACTGTTGTCATTATCATTGGATTTTTTGCTGTTCTTCTTTGTTACTGCCGGTAAGTAAGAACTAAGTTGTAATTAGCTCAGCATGAATGGCCTTCAAGGAAGAAAAAAAAATAGCCTCCTATACTTGAGACTTTTTTCTTTAACTATATTCAAAACAGTGCTTGTTCACTTAATGCATTAAACTCCAAAGTAGAATAGTCTATATTTCTTTAATAATGTTGCTGATATGCAAAACTTAAAATTGTTTGTGACATCATATTTTGCTAGTATGATGTGACTAGTGGCTTTTTACTACTTACTAGTAACTAGAAGTAACTAGTTACTTCAGTTACTTATCTCCTAGTAGTAGTTCTTCTAGCAGTAAGTTCTACCAGTAACTAGCAAAATCAGGTAGTTCAGGTAGTGCAGTGAACAGTGCAGTATTTGCTAGTATGCTGTACAGTTATCTTGCATTTCTTTTGCATAGGGACAAATGTGGTCACACACAAAAGAAGGAAAAAAATACAACCAGGCTGGAGATCATGAAAAAAGATCAGACGACATCAACAACTCTCATAAATCATGCSAGTCTTGTCAAGGGGTCTGTAAAACTAGAGGATAAGTCACAATTATATGCRCCGAAGATTTCTTCCTACAGCCCTCAAAGACAGACATCTGCAGAAACAGAAGATGGAAAATCACGGGACAATTTTAAAATCTACACAGAGGATTCTTCTTATCAGTCAACTCGCCAGACTGGTCAGACAAGAAATTCAACCCATTCTGTGGAGGTTAATCCCGGAGTTAGACACTTACAGCAGCCAAAGCATATTAACAACATTTCCCAGGCTCCAAGGGACATTCAAGACCCAAACAGGTACCTTCCACTGAAAGAGGAAATGTATGGCCTTTCCCGTATTCCCGAACATCTAATGCATATTTACAATCAACCAATTGCTATTCTTCAAACTTCTGACCTTTTCCACTCACCAGAACAATTGCATGCTGCTAAATCAGCAACTTTGCCAAGAAAAGGGCAGTTGGTCTATAGCCCCATGATGGAACCCATGAATCGAGAAAGCTACATGCAAACATTACCCAAAATGCCAGGACACTCTCATCCACAGCCTTCTGTCTGCAGAGAGGAACAAAATACCTTAGATGGTGAACAGGGCTTACCCTCTCAAACATCAAACTGGAGCCGGTACACTAACAGTTTGCTAGAATCTGTCTCTGTTCCAGGCACACTGAATGAAGCAGTTGTAATGACTCCATTTTCATCTGAACTTCAAGGTATTTCAGAACAAACGTTGCTGGAACTCTCTAAAGGGAAACCATCGCCGCACCCTCGAGCGTGGTTTGTGTCCCTAGATGGCAAACCAATAGCTCAGGTGAGGCATTCCTTTATAGATCTGAAAAAGGGCAGAAAAACAGAGAGCAATGATACCAGTCTGGACTCTGGTGTGGATATGAATGAGCATCATCCCGGTAGGAAATTGGAAAGAGAGAAAACTTTCATTAAAAGTATGCCTCATTCTAAGATCCTTTACTTGGAAGATCTGGATTTGAGTAGTAGTGAAAGTGGGACCACTGTTTGCACTCCAGAGGACCAGGCTGTGAGACACATTCTGGATGGAGGAAATGGGCCCGACACAGAACAACACGATGAGGAAAGTCTGAGAAGAAAAGCTGTAACAGGAAATCGTGAGTCTAGCATCCCTCTGGCTAAAAAAAGGGAGAGACTATCTATCACAAAAAGAGATAGCCAAACTAATATTTGGAAGAAGAGAGAGGAGAGACCACTTATTCCTATAAACTAAAACACATGTGCTTTGTGTTGTTGCTCTTCCTGCTGGTTAATGCTCTCTGGGTTTCATGTGTCGTTTTGCAGTGCTGGGTTTACAATAGAAACATTGTTTTCTAGTGTCAAGACAAGTTACATTTTTTTTATATGCAGACTGAGTTACTATAACTTCAACTGAGCAATTGATATTCAATGTGATTTGTTATCAGAGAAACATTATGGTTAAAATTTTCCAGTTCCTAATTTCAGTGGCATTGTAGGGAAGGGACACAATTTACTTAGCCTGTTGTTCTTGGATGCATCTTTTGGAATGCATAGTGAGAAATGTAGGCACATCTTTTAATTTTTTTATACTTGTTGCTAATATGTTGGTAGGGTGGTTAATGCCATTCCCCAGCCTTGTTCCTAATAAATGTGACCATCTGTACAGTATTTTATATGTGACCTTTTGTAGGAATATGTCACTACTTCTTTGTATGAAGTTTCATAAATTAGTCTCAAGACACCAGCAGATGAGCTCTGGTGGATTTATCCACAAGCTCCATGGCAGAACTGCCCTCTCTCTTTGTGCCCGGCAGAAGATACAAAGTGCACGAGTTCTGTGGCCTCTCTTCCCCCAAGTCCCTGCTGTCTTAACTTAAAACATTGTCCATTTCAGTTTAACCTGCTTTGTTGTGAATGGTAGATGTTGAAGATCGGCACCTGCTGTGAAGCATCTGCCTTCACAGAAGAGGACTGGTGCTGGGAGCATTTTAAGCTGCTGCTGCTACTGCTTCCGGTGGGCATGTTTTCACTTCATTAGCAGAAATAACCTGCTCTTCTGCATGCTGTGGAGCCAGCTGTGCTCTGAATCATAGTGTTTTACTCCTGCAGGTTTGTAAATTTAAGGTAGAATCTGACCCGTAATGAAAAAGTATGCAAGTTTAGACAAATAATGCTTTTCAAGATCATCAGAGGTTTATTTGCCTGTTTTGCCAGCCTGAGCTGTTTTTGTCCTAGGCTGTGCATCGCAAAGAGGTTAGAAAGACTTTTAAAATTTTTTAATTTTCTTTTTTTTTTTTAAATGAGCATGAGGAAGGGGATCTCTAAACTTTGTATACAGTATAAGTACTTCTTGACTCATCTTGGAGTTAAATTGTTACCAAAAGTCATAAATGCATGATATGTAACTATGGTATGTATAGCGGAAGGAAAAGGCCATCAGAATATATTCTTTATTTTTAATGTTCATCTTGTCAAAGTGATAGGTTCAGCTTTGGCTAACAGAAAAGTAGACACGCTCCTTACTGTGCTTCATACAGTAGACCATATTTGCTCTACTGTGGCTTTTGGGCTACTTTCCTGGTGAAATAAGTCCCGGCATTTGGGGTTTGACCRGTGGATTATAAATCATCAGGCGCAGTCTGTGGTTTGCCCAGCTGTGCTGATGTCCCTGCCTCTTACTTACCAGGCTGCTCTCTGTGCCCACACTTCAGAATTTCTTTCCACAGAAAAATAGGGTATGCAAGGAGAAGGTGCCTGTCTCTGTCCTGGCCAGACCTGCCATCAGGATGTGACCAAGGGCGGCACCCAGGAGGGGGAAATACCCTATGCAGCTGGGGGCCCTAGAGCTCTTGCTCAGGAAATGCTGCTGCTAAAAAAAGGTCTCTTCTGGCGGTGTCTGGCACCGCTCTGAGAATATGCAGAGTTACCTGAATGGTAACAGCAAGACATCCACGTCCCTGCCTTTCTTCTGGAATGCAATTGCTTTGRGAACAAAATACAATATTCCTGTTGCTTTCACAAGTGTGAAGGTGCTTCAAAGTACKTTTGAGAGGTGTGTAGCTAAATATKTAARTTTGTTTTGCCAAAAGAAAGAATCTAGTTTAATCATACAATCTTCAGAGGTAAAGATGGCTTGCTGTATTAGTATGCCTTTGGTACTGGTTTTTAGGTAACTCCCTCATTCCTCTACAAAACATATTTTTTCAATAGATATTCAGTTCCAATTTAGAGCCCCTTAGAGTGATGTTTTTATCCTTTGCTTTGTTACATATATTAGGAGTCTGTTAAATTTTGAATACAGGCAAACGTTTCATCCCAGAGATCATTTGACTTTGCTCTGCTCTTACARTTGCATCACTTCTGAGGAGACCCTTCTCAAAAAAAGGAATGCTATTTGTTCTTCAAAACAAGCAGAAAATTGCTGTCAAGCCAAACGGTTTTGAGATACCAGTCAATCTTAAATGGATCTCTCTATTTTTGTTCACTTACAGCAGTGAAAATATGCTGCAGATTCTGTGTGGTTTTGATGTGATGTTTCATTAGACCAACCAAAAAGAGGTAATTCCTCAAGCTTACTTGTGTCATTAAAAAATGAAGGCAACAGGAGAAGACTTACATACATGTAAGTTCAAAAGAATGAATTTTTGCACCCCTTGTACCCATTTTGCCTCCAAGTAGGCATTCGTTCACCAAAGGATTAGCAACGTTGCAAAGTTCAGCTGCAGGAGGGGGACTTGGGAATTGCCCTGCCTGGAGATGCACCCYGTGGGGCAGGTGCCTGGCACAGAGCAGAGCGGCTGTCAGGTTTGTGCCCTCCATCTAAATGAGATCTTGGCCGTCTGCATTCAGTCACGGTGTGACCCTGTGCGGATGGTGGTACGAAATGTGCCCTTTAAAGGTCATGGGTAAGTAAGGGACACTTCAGCTTTTAGCCAGCTCAGAAGTCGGAAGGAATGRGCCTTAGAAGAGCTGCTTGCTGCTAGGCTTCTCAGGAGGAGGAAGAAAAATAGAGTAGGACTTTCTGAAAAACAGGCATCTTCAGACATCCCCAGCAGTGACCTCTCCATACAAAACGCCAAGCGTGTGCTGGCAGGTCCCGAAGCAGCGCTGGGCTTCGGCAGCACTCTCACCTCAGGACCTTGCCKGGGGGTTTGTATCTCGGCTAGAACTTTGCTTCTCCCTTAGCTAATGGGGCACAAGCATTTCCTTTAGCAAAGCAATTGAAGTGTCCAGGGATTAAATTCTCAAATAGCTAGTTTCTGGGAAGTGTATGCTGCAGTTCTTGCCATACTGTTTTTAAGACTGCCTTCATTGCCAGCTGTTGTTTCTATGTAGGCCAGTCAAGTATTTGCATTCTTTGTAGATCCCATTCGCTAACTCTTCTGCGTGAAATTCAATAGTTCGCCACACCATGACTTAGGCTGGCAATAAAGTTTAGTTCTGTATTTAAAGTGAATACATACCTATGTTTTCTGTGTCAGAATAAGGRAAACTTGTCTGTAGAGCAGAATTACTGGCTACAGTTGTATCAGGGAGCACAAATGCTGTGTGAAAATGGTTGAAACCCCTAAGCACACCATGACAGGGAATGCTTCCTTGGCCCTATCATGAACATTAAATCTTTGATTTTAAAAATCTCTATATAACTATAAATTAAAATTATACTTCATATTTATATTCTGTATTTATAAAGTATGTTGTCTGAGTCTTCATGTTCCAGCTGTATGTCACAATTTGTGCACAGGAAACTTATATTACCTCTTAATGATGGAAATTCTTTTTGTCTTTACATCCATTAAAAGAGGAGTTTAAGACAACACTGTGTCCTAAAGTCTTAAATTTCAGAGATGCCCTACATGATGTGTATGTAGGTAGAAGAAACATCACTATGGAATTTCTTTGTGGTCACATTAGTGCTCATCTGTATTTCTATATATAGAATCCATATGACTTCTATATGAGAATCTAGATGAATCATGTAACAGATTTCTTCTGCTGGCTCAATATTTCAGTACTAATGTAGGGCTAAAATGCCAGYGCTAAAATTGTGCCTATACAAGAAGTAGTAGTATGTCTGTACGGGAAGTAGATTGATGACAAACTGTTCCTGGAAAGAAAGACCACAGAGCCACTCAGAGGTTGCGATATTTTTTGAGGCTGGAGGTCGATGGCCTTGAGAACATGAGCAGAGTGCAGTGTGACTGAGGCAATGAGCACAAACCCCCTCGAAGGAAAGAGGGATGGAGTGGAGGGTGAATCACAGGGGAACGCTTCTTTCTGATGCTTATTTTCAAATTGGTACTTGTGGAACTTGGCTTCAGTGGAATCGACTCTTTATAAAGAACCCAAACATTTTTATGTTTTGATCCTTCCCCACATGCTTTTTGCACCATCACGTCTTGAAAAAATGTCACCTTTCCTTTGGAACTGTGCATGCCTGTATATATGAAGTATTTGTAGGACACTCGAGACCAAAACTGGTCTTGTGTTTTAAGATGAAAGGTGGTTAATAAACCTGAGGGCGCTTTCCCTGCCATGGTTTCCCTGCCATGCACGCTGTTGAGATTCTTCTCTTCTTGCCCAAGTGTGCTACTGGTTCCAGGTGCTACCCAGTTTTGATAAGGTGGCAGATGGATTTAGCCAAGGCCTGTTTATGCAAAACAGCCCTGGCTCGGATCAGTTCCTTGGTATATCCTGAATCAATGGAGTGGTCAAATTAAACAACATACAGTTTCATGCACATGAATTTTGTCACGTTCCCTTGAATAAGCTAATCGGAAGTAGTTTACAGGTTTCTATCAGGTGACAAGTATTAGAAAATTCAAAAAAAAAAAAAATTCAAAAAATCTATTTGATTGAAAAGATCTTTATAGTACTATCAGAAAATAATGGAAAATCTTATGTTTGATATCATGCAAACCTGAAAGTACAGCTGGATTTGACGATGACAGATAAAATTTACCAATGCAGATCTAGGAATGATGATGCATGGAAAATCGTCTATGATATAAGAATGAAAACATGTAGCTGCATGCTTTGCTTTTTGTCCAGCAGTTTGTACCAAAGAGGATGAAATGAATGGACACCAGTCTAAGCTGTTCTTATTAATTAAAAAGCAAAGTAGGTTGATATTCATGGAGTGATTTGCAAGMTAAATTGCAGTACACTACATTCACTGCTACTGTATATGAAATGTTGCTTATATGGAAAAATATGACATTAAATAGCCTGCTGAAGTGCCTTCCTCTTTCATCAAACTTATTTTATCAGTGGGACACCTAAATATCTGAAAAGCACGCAGATATATTTTTTTTTCTGTTAGCCAAAAAGCCCCAGTTCATACTTAAAATTATGTAGCTTTTATAATATTTTAAAAAGCAGATTTAGTATTTTTATGTTGGAATACTGATTCCTGCATGTTGTCGATGATAACTGTTGTAATCCTTTTTTTTCTTTATATATTTTATGTTTGAAAAAGGGTGAAAGTATATCTTTAGTAATCTGAAGAGTTGCATCTTTTAAAAATGTGTATGCAGGATTTGATTCAGTTTAAGATAAAAGTAAGCATCTTGAGATCACTTCGTTTACAGGTATAGAACTGACTCAGATTTTAACTTCAAAAATGAAATTAATACACTTGTATATATACGWGTTACTAGTTTGATAAAAGTCCTTTTTAAGCTCCTGGCCAGTAGAAGCAGCAAGTGAGTGGAGCTAGGTACCTAATTTTGTTACAGTTCTTTTAAAAGCAGTATTTAATGTTTCCTGTTAAAAATACTTTTGAAGCGATTTTTTTTGTAAGCCTAGCTAAGGAAAGTTGTGTCATAATACTAGCACTTTCAGCTTAAAATTATTTTACCACTTTTCTTCTCCCCATTAATTGTTTGATTCCGTAAGCATTTATCTACTCTACCTCCCCAAACATACTGGTACAGTATTCTTCATTTGCACTGATTTATTTCATTTGAAGCACATGTTGCACTTCAACTGTCTTACAACAGGGAGTGACTATTTTCACAGCATCCTGGTATTGTGCAGCCACGCACTTCTCAGCGCTCCTCAGAGCGCAGTGCTTGTTAAAACCCAACTCCGAGGTGCTGAAGCACAGAAGAGCTGATGGCCCTGCCTGTGCTCACCACCTTGCRTGTTGGAGCCGTACATTCAAACAAGCACTTCATTTCTTTGGCTCAAATCATTTTCAGAAACACTATACAAATATTGCTCGTAGGAAAGATGCTTAATGTTTGCCATTTTTAAAAATATTTCTATCTTTTTATATTTTGTCAGAGGTGTCTTCATTTCTCAGTATTTATTACAGTATCAATGTATCTGTTGCTGAAAATGTAATATCTGTAAAATGTTATAGCTTATGCAATATAATAAATAGTTTTAAAAAGTTATCGATGTTTTATTTTTTATTTGAATGTCCTTGAAGTCATACATTGTCCAGGAACATGCCTGTCTTGCTAGCCACTTTATTTGCTAAATATCATTAAAAATGCTTATTTTTCTGATTACTATAATTCTGATGATAAAAGAATGTTATTGTCATCATCCTTAAAAGTTTACTAATTCTTAATTTAGTCACAGTGTTAGTTCCATTTCTACTAAAGAAAAMCATGACATCAGATGACATCGGGAAAAACATCAGATCCACGTGAGATTGAATTCCGGCTTCTTCTTTAGGACAGCAAACCCGTGGGGCTAGGATTATTATTTTGTAAGTAATAATGTGATTAAATGTTATTACACTTGTAAGGAATAAGTATAATATGATAAAACTACATGATTAAATTGTTTATATCACTTTATGAGAGCTAATTTTTAGGCTCAGTAATTCTTTCGTTTGGCCATATAAATGTAATTGAAAATGCCTAAATTTGGTGTTCCKGTTAACACTGGGAAGATGAGCTTCTCTTTTGGGCCTTAGATATCATTAAATGATAGTACATGACACAGAATCCAGCTGAGGTTGTAAGAAACTTCTTTGATGCATTAGATCACKTTTTGTTATTACTTGTTGAAAAAGAGCAGTTTTGCTACCGTTATTTTGGCAATGTTAATATCCGTTTGCCTTCATTCATTACAGTCCTGAATAAGATACTTTACCTAGTTGGTCTTTCAAGAATGTAAAAGGCAGCTTTTSCTTAAAATTCCTTTAAAAGCAATTTCTTTGATTGAATGTTAAAAATGGCAAATAAGAAATAGTGTTAATGTTGCAGGTTTATGACTTTTCTTTTGAGACACATCTACAGCAGCCATATCGGTTTGTCTGTTTATTTCAGCCCGTTTAGTCAGAATGTTTCCCACATCATCGAGTAGTACTTTCAGTTCGTGACATCAGTATTAAGTTGTTTCTTGTTCTCTGTGAAATCTTATGTACGGAGTAGGAAAGTCCACGTACAGCTGTGTTATCTAACACAAGGTACTCATGGGTTGGTATGCGGTTGCATTCCCTCCAACAGTAAATCTATTTTTGCTGCCTTAATGTTCAAATGAGGTAGTCGTCTTGTTAAAAGCCTGCTTTGATGGTTGCCATTTCTCACCTCCTTACCATCCTTTTTTGAGTGCTGGCTTGCTGGACCTAGATTGACTTCAAAATTCAACTCCCTGGGATATTTCGGAATCGTAGAATTGTCACAGTCTTTATCTTTTTTAGAAGGAACAACTCTGTTTGCGTTGCTACAGTCCAATTGGTGTGGTATCTCAGCAGCATAAATGCCATCCTTTCTAGGGCTAATAGTATTGGTTTTGCTGCAAAATGATGTCTCAAAAGAGCTTAGAGAGTCTGGTACACCTTTGTTATGAGGTTTTTTGAAGCTCCTTTGAAGGCTTTCTGATATATGTCCAGATAACGTTTGCTTGAGAAATAATCCATTTCCTGATACAAAAATTTCTGGTGCCGCTTGCTCTGAAAGTTTGCTAATGTTTCTGTGAGAACCTGTCAGGCAGATTTCATCTTTGGTTGACATAGCCTTCCAAGTCAGAGGGTTATATACAACATACTCATCAATAGGACATGTATTTCTTTGGTGCAGTAGCCAACTGTCAATACATGCCCTATGAAACTTTAAAAAAAAAAAAAAAAAAAAGTCAACTGTTGCATGCTAATAATACTTCTGAACTACAAATGGGCTCATCAACTGATTGTTCTTTCATATTAACAGGGATTTATCTCGCTAAGGGATCGCTAAGTTGAGTGCAAACCCAATCTACACGTTACTGATCACCAGAACAGCTATGTTGCTGATTTCTGTGATGAGTAGATTCTAAACTTTGAGTACAAAGTTAGTTAAGTTTTAGTTATGTTTTGACTGCTGTGAATTGACATTTAAAATACATTTCTTAAGCTGCTTCAGTAATCARCTTAATTCAATTAATTCTTATAGAGGTACAATTACAAAAATATTCACTAAAAGAATTCACAAAGAATTGGTGCCAACTCTGCTGACCTTTCCTTTTGGCCCAATTCTACTTTCACTCTGTTCCATGTTAATTCTCAATCTAAGCTGCATTAATGACTGAGATTGTAACAAACTGTCACTACTATCCTACAAGACACATACCCTCGATACAATTCTTGTTTCAAGTATGTTTCAAATTGTCCAAGCCTCAAGGATAAGAAAGCAGACTGAACTAGTTGACAGCCTGCTTCATCACTGACAGAGAATTGCATATCACGACATTTTATTATGTTGTTTCCTTGCCATAAATTTGGACAAGTTGATTTTTAGCTGCTACTTCTGACCACTTCGCATCCCATGTTTTAAAGTAGCTGTTAAAACTCAAGCATAAAGTTAAACCAACTTGCAGACTAGCCCCAGGAATATCCTTATCAGTCGTGCCCTGAAGGTTCAATTAAATGATGTATTGGAGGGTAGCAATGTGAGCTGTGGAAAAATGGATGCATTACAAGAAAACAGGTTTAGATTTGGCTCTTTAACATTTAGAGGAATTTTTTTCTCTCTTACTTTATGATTGCATGGTAGGAGTCTTACACGTTGACCACGGTGAAAGGGCTTCAAGCAGCATCTACACTGAATACCTGGAGCAAGTAAATGACTCTGTTTCCCAACTAAAATGTTGGGTAAAGATTTTACAATCCTCTTAGGGGTACAAATAGTCCTAAAACAAAACAAATAGAAGAAGTTTTGTAAATTAGGAAAAATGGCAAATAAAATCAAACATTTAAAAATGGTAAGTAGGCTTTTGACAGAAATTTCTTTTTATTACTATCTTTAATTTTTAAATAGGATGAACAATCCTCTAAACCACAGCTGCTGTGAAAGCCATTCCAGTGATGTTCATCTTCCTCTGAGAGGCATAAGTAGACACACCTGCTAGAAAAATAGCACTTTCATTTCGCCTAAACAGCTGCATAAAATAAACCATTACATTTTATACAATAATTCCTACATCAGTTTCTCTGAACAAGAAAAATTCCATGACCCGAGCTCAGTATTTGTAACAGAGTCATGAAATTAACCCAAATATCCTTATTTCTTGTAAAGCTACCTTTGTTTTGGAATTATGCAGAATCATATCTTGCTTTCCTTTGATTCCAGATTCCTAATGATAGCCCTTAAATCAAATCTTGTGATCTTGCTGTGGCAGTAAGTAGCATTCTTCTCATTTTTAATTATGAGTGCACAATGTGTAAATACTTCAGTAAATCCTTCTTAGTAGTAGTTTTTTAAATAATTTTGACAAAGGAGTAATGCAGAGATAGTCCCATCAGCTTTCAAATAGTGAAAATTTTTAAACTGTATAAAAGAACGACCTCTTTGATACAAGGGCAGAGAAATATTTGCAATCTTTGACTTAAATAATACTGGTTCATTTCTGAGATGATTCTGGAATGAGACTTTCTGAGGTTTCCTAAATGTTGATCTTTTCTCTGTGTAGCAACTACATCAGGTACTTGTCTTCATGGTGAGAAGCCTTGTGCATTGCTGTGGCAGCTCCAGAGAAAAGCATAAGCTTTTGCTTCTTTTTGTATAATGTGTTCCATTTCTGTGCAGTCAGTTCTAATATTTGTTATGCCAAATTTTTGAAGTGAAAATTTGATAGTTTTAAAATACCACTAAGCAAAACTTTAAATATCTTTAATTTTTTTCAGTATCTGCAGCATAAGTTTAAAAAAAATGAAAAGAATTATTTAGTTTGCAAATTACAATTAATCTTTAACTATTTTATTTATTGTGTAATTGGAAGTATTAATATATGCTCTTAAAAAAAGTTATTATTCTGTGTATAGTACTTTTTTTTTTTCAGATACTGCTGAAGTACAGAAACCATTTAGAGCTCTGCACATTTCTCAAAAAAAGTAGTATGGAAAAAAAAAGGCTCTTACTTCTGAAGATGTAACAGGGGTTCTTYAGATTTATTTCCTGGGTTATACCTTCTAAAATTTTCTCCTTGAGCTGGTAATTCTGGAAGCTGGTCGAGAGATCTCCACGCCTTATTTCTCTTCTGTAATGTGCAAAAGAAATTGCCTGAATTGCCTAAACTCAGGATATCAATTACCTTGTAAATGATGAAAAGAGGTGCTCAGAACAATTCAACAATTCTTTTTCTTAACTATTTTTTGTTAAGAAAAACACAGCTAACAAACATGTTAAGAGAAATATCTTATTTGAATTTTTGCAAAGCATGAAACAAAAACCATCTAGCATCTTCAACTAAGACTTGGAGAAATTCTCATTGGTAGCAAAACTGAATTCAAACACAAGTTGAAATATGTACCCTTACGGTTGTTACAATAACCTGAATTTGCTGGCCCTGTTTGATGACATAATGGTATGCAACAACCAGCTACCTGGGGAGCAGTACAAACTCATGGTGAAACACTTTGAGTCCTTAATTTTGTGACTTCCCTACTCTAGTCATAGAACGTGTCATTTACTGTTGGTTACTAGGACCCACACCCCCTTATTTATTTGCATCCCCTGACCAACTATAAGGCATTATCTAGGTAAGGAAAGATTAGGTAAACTAAGATGTATTTGCACCTACTGACCACATAAGGGCGCCACAATTATAATTTACACAGGCAGAGGGAAACTAAGCTCTTAGTTTCTAAGTTGATCAATTTTCACATCTGAAGATTCTCAATATCCTGCTTATATATTGCTCTTAGATGTAATTAAATTCAGGTTTTCCACAATTTGKCTAAGGAGATTAATACTATATAGATCAGATTAGGATGCAAGAAAAGAAAACCTGCGTACCTGTCTGAAGACAAAAACGTGGGGAGAATGAAGAAAGCCAATGAAACATTCATGACATAGGTGATACTCAATACACTCGGTGCATCTGTAGGGAAAAATGTAAACACAGAATAAGGAATGAAGATAACAAATAGCATTTCACAATGCGGTGGTAGTTAAATTTACCACTTGGACAAGGGCAATCCCAAATACATTTCTTTCTTAAGGAAGTTTTTGTGGAATGGCTCCCCAGTAAAGTGTAATTTAAAACTAAAGTAGAATAAAACTAAGTTTATGCTGTAAGGCTCTGTAATTTACACATTGGGATCTTTATTATTCTGAAGTATTTGAGACCTATTATAATTTTACTGGGAAAAATCATATTAATTTAAAATGATCGAATATATTCTTGATATTTGATGTGAACTTGATTCAAAGCAAATGTGAAGAAAAGAGCCATTAGTCTACCTGATGACTGTGATGGCCAATTACAGAAATGGAACTGCCTACCTTGACCAAAGTGCTGTTCAGGCAGGAAGCTAATTAAATTGCCCACAGTCCTCAGATGAGTCTGAGACTTTGCATAAGTAGTGGTGTGATATAAGAAGCTCTTTYGGTCTTCATGAAATTGAACACCAGTAAAGCAGCAAAGAATTCTAGAATGATGATTCCTTTCACTCACCATGAACAATTGCATCTGTTTTTTTTTTTTTTTTTAGATAATTTAATAACATGAGTTTATCAGGAATTAATTACAATTGATTCGGAAGAAATAATATGTGGGTAGAATTTCTGTGGATTAAATTGTTAAGTTCCTTATAASAAAGACAGGAATAAACAAAATGTTAAGATAAACTCAAAAACATAATATGGTCAATATCGTGATCTAAAAATACTTACTTGTAGCACCTTCCCACAATTGGAAATACTCTGCAATTATTACATGGGATTCCGAGGTGCCTATCCAGGCTTGCCCTCTCTGCTGCAGTCACGAGTTGGGCAGAGTTTCTAAATTCTTCCAGAATGAGGTTTAGAGGTGCAAATTCTTCCCTGCAGAGTGGACACTTTACTACAGAGCCAGGCCTGAGTTCATCTTGGTGGTCAGCCCAGATTTTCATACATTTTATGTGTACATTGTTACCACAGCCATATCTGAAGGAAACCAATGATAATTTCTGTAATCTTTCTGTARGTATATTTCCATATAAGCATTTACATTTCTATAAGCAACTTATTTAGTGACCTTCCCTTTTTCCCCTTCCTATACCCTCCAGTGTTTAACTCCTGGGGCTGCTGAATTTTCTGGATTGAAAAAGGCTCTGACAACTGTCATACATTCTTGTGACTTGAAGCTATCTATCTACACTAAGAGGTCAGTGTAACGGTCTGTAATTAGGGCAAAGAATGACTGTGTATTTAACCTGCAGAAAGTGATGGGGAGCATCATCTTCAGTAACTCCTCCTGACAAATGGGACAGACATCCTCTCTACTGATTTCTTTCTGACGAATGAAGAGCATCTCGTCCTGTTCACTCAGTGTTGGTAAGAAGGTGGTTTGTTGAGGACTTAGTGTCTGTCGCTGCTGCAGTCGCTGTAGCATATCCTCAATTTCTCTTTCCAGAAGACCCAACTTAAAAGCATCTACCAAAACCAAAAAATTAAAGCTTTTTGGCAGAACTCTGCACTTACCTGTAAGAGCTCTCCATCTGTATATATATAAGGGAGATTATTCTTCATTTACTTTGGTACAAGATGCTTTTATAAATTAATAGCCATTATCAGGTAGGTATGTCTCAGTAGTTACGCAGCTTGGCTTTTTCCATGGCTACATCATTCCTGAAACTAAAGTTGTCCTCTATAAAACTACATAATCTGCATAACTACACAAGACAGTACCCTATATCATAAAAATTAAATGAATCAGAAAATGCCAATCAGTTTTTTTGTTGTTGTTTTTTGAGGTAGAGGAACAAGGGGAAAAGAGGGCAGATAATGATATATAAACAAATTTCATTCAGACACTCAACTGTAGTGCTTTGGGCATTTGAAGCAGGTAAAGTCTACATGCAAGCCATAACGAAGCTAATACTTACACTCATGATCTCTTGGCAGTCGGTATTTTTTCAGCAATATCCTGCAATATATAATCAAAATATCTAGTAGGCAACAACATCAAACTAAAGTTGCTTGTTAGTTCGGTGTTAAAAGTGGAACAGCTACGTGTCTTATGAGGACTTACATTATCTTATATTTAGTGAATTTGAAAGAAAACTGCCATCAGAGGGATGGCCCCCCTCCACACTCCTGTTCCTGTCACTTCCTGTACATGTCTCAGTGACCTGGTTACTCTCCCAGGASTGCCAAAAAGATTACACAAAAAAGGGTGATTTTCTGTTGATTCAGGGGGTTTTGTTCACCCCATGAAATCCTGCGCTAAACAACACATCCATAAAAGGGAAAAGGGGATAACTGCTGCTGGCAGCAGCAAAACATTTCTGCCTGCCAACTGAACAGCTTAAGGAAAAAGGAATGACAGAGGTGAATGAGCACGGGTAAGATGTGTAGACCTCAGCTTGCAAGAGATCTTTGAGTACCACAATATAATCCCAGTGGTGGCTGTGCTCCCTTGTTCCGTATGCTCCACGTTCATGGACGCGGCTCCTGACTGACTTGTGATTACAGGGGGCAGGTTGCCTGGCCCTGCRGAAGCGCCCCGGCGCTCCGCAGAGCTGTGCCTGCAGCTGCACGGGCTGCTCTGCACGCCTGAGCCGCGCGCGTTACGCGGCCCGCGCCGCCGTCCTGGCACCGCACGCGCTTCGCCCTGCGGCCCCTGCACGCGCAGGGCTGCTCACCAGCAGAGGTGCTTGCAGAGGCGCCTCTCCCTGCGGAAGGCGGAGCAGCTGCACGAGTGGGGCTCGCCCAGGACCACCTGCCAAGGACAGCGCCGAGGCTGAGCGCCGCGGGCGGCCGGGAACCGCGCGCGCAGCGGGAAGGGGCCGCACCCGCAGCGGGGCGCCCGCGCGGCCCTCCTCGCGCAGCAGGAAGGCGGCGGGGCCCAGCTCCCGCACGACGCGCATGGTGCTGCGCAGCGCGCGCTCCTGCCGCCGCCGCAGCGCCGCGCTGTCCCCGCGCCGCCGCGACATGGCCGCGCGGCCCCAMCGGCCGCGGCGCGCGCCGCGTTGCCGGGGAAACGGCGGCCGTTAGCGCGCGCCCGCGCCGCAGCTGCGGCCGTTGCAGCGCGCGGCGCTGCTGGGTGTGACCGCCGGCGGGCGTGTGTGCGCAGACACGGAGGGGCTCCACCTCGCCGTCCCTGCTCCCCGGGCCCGGAGTGCATGGGTTGCCTCCTCGTGGAGTGGAGACACGTGTAGGGTTTTTTTTTTTTTTTCCCCCTCCCTTTTCTTTCATTTTTTTTCTTCCCCTTCTCCACTTCTTCTCCCCTTCCTTTTTTTTTTTTTTTTTTTTTTTTTTTTGGAATAGCTCTGATAACCTTGCCCGGAAAGATAAGTGTTTTTGCTGTTTGTTTTCCTTTACAATCACCAGGAGAAACTGTTGCACCTCCTGTGGCTCTCTCGAATGATGCGTGTCTGCTTATTTTCACTTTCTTTTAAACATTTGTGTCAGTTCTTTAAACAATTGGTATTGAAATTGGTCTTGGTATTGAAATCCCTTCTGCAGGTTTTTCCTGGAATATAAACAGAATTAACGTGGTAATTAGGGGTCCAACACCCCCTTTATTTCTTAGGTTTGCAGAGGCTCAAGGGAGCCTTCCTCTCACTTACATTAACGCTTCCCCGAACAGTCTTGGGGGCTTAGCTAAACTCTGCTGGGAATGTGGGATGAGTGGAGCTGGTGGAGGGGCTGTGGGAGCAAGGCAGGGCTTGAAGCAGGGCAAGGAGGTTACGGGAAGGCAGGTCTGGCTTTGTGCCGTGTCAGTGAGGAGCTGAGTCTTGGATGCTGGAGGAAGGGTGTAGATAAGGAAAAGCTAATCCGGCTGCAGGACCCTGATCTGGGTGGGAAAAGGCTGGACAGGAGTCTATTGAATGCCAAGGTGTGGAAGAAAGTGCTGGGGATCCTGGCGCCTGGGGCAGGAAAGGGTGGTGTGGGAAGCACTGCTGGAGTGACAGGGAGCTGGTCACCAGCTCAGSTTGCACCAACTCAAGTGGGCAACTCGGACTAGAAGGAGGGAAGTGATGAAATAAGTATGAAATAACGTCTGAAAATGAGTAAAGGCTGAGAGAGAATGCTCTGAGGACTTTGCTCTTCTTTACCTGAGTGCTATATCAGATAATTCTGTAAACTGTTCTTTCAACCAAATCATAAAGCCCCTGCCAGTGAGGCAAGCTTAAAGGGTTGGGAGACAGTGAGACAGCAATGGACCAAATCATTGGTCCATGAGCAGTTCGTAGCAAGTCCTCATATAATATATGTATATGTATAATATTTTAGCTGGATAAGGCAGGCATTTTGAGAAGTCTCTTGGATACACTTGTGGGTGTCCTTTATCCTCATCACTTGGCACTTTCTGCCCACCACCTCTTATAAATGACAGTTCAGAGAACAAAAAAATCCTCTTAARAGGAAAAAAAGATTTTTTTTTCAGTTCACCACTGGACCATACAGCCGCAGCCCCAGAGCAAGTCTTTTCTCCCCTGGTTTTAACACCATAGCTAAGCACCATGTGCTGTCCTGTGGGTTATACAACTTTCAATGATTATTTTAATTTCTGTTAAAGTTCCTACTAGCCTTTGGACTGAATGTGGATTACTGGTGTTTTCAATAATATTACTGCTGTAGCATGCAGCCTTTTTGAAAAGGAAGCATGCTGTCTAACTGGTGCCTTGTTTACTTTATGATTGTTAGTCAGCCTAGGAAAAAAAGCTTTGAGTCRAATTTGAGCTGAAATTTCAATTCCCACGTCTCCTTGTGGAAGGACATTTATAACTAGTGCTGCTATTATATAATCATTAGGTAATGACCGTAAATTTGGGCTTTGAGCTTCTTCAAAAGAGATTTCTGTGAGCTTCTAGAACTGAACAGTAATTTATGAGTAACAGTCTAACTGTCTGGCGGCTGGCTGCTTTTTGCATACATCTAGAATTTAAAAATAAGGAATGAAAGTTAGAAATATGTAAGGGGGAAAAAAAAMCCCAGCAGAGCCACAAATTTCACCTCTTCCTTTCCGTGGAATTACAAAGGTCAGGTTTGGCAGATGCCTGGAGCAGAACCCGGCAGAGATAACGGGACACCGTGTGGTAGAAGGTTCATTCTTGTGAGCAAGGACATTTTAATAACCTTGTGTAATAGGAGGACGGGGAAGGGAATAATATTTACTTTTGCTAATGTTCTTACAATTAAAACCATTAGTATGAGTTCCATTCTGATTTCCTGGCTCTCAAAAAATCTTTTTTTCAAACTTTTCTATTGATGCTGTTAACTGGTTTTATAACAATATAGTGCGAGGTAGATATGATGGATGTTTGCCAGTTTAAAATAGGCTATTTCTCTTTATTTAAAGCTTAGCTGCCTAGAATATCTGTCAGGGCAGTAAGGGTGTTACCCTAACMTTACCTGCAAATATGTTTTTCATTAAGTTTTTGGCATCTGTTGTCAACCTAGAATTGTATTTAACCTTGTTTTTCCCAGAAGGTCTTGTAGGTTAAGAAAATAAATGTTTAGTAGGAGTAGGAAAAGTTTTATACATTGCATGACCTTCTGAGGTCTACTTCAGAAATGCACTGGAGAAATAATTATTAAGAAAATAAATATTCTGGCACCGTAAATTGAAGCATTCTTAGTGCAAAGGACTGAGTCATTTAAAATGATACGAACCTGTGTTTCATGTGTGATATGTAATGCTTCCTCTCCTTTTATTTTTAATTTGATTCAGTTTTATTAATGACAKTGTCTAGGAGGGCTCAGAGATGCAAAAGTAGTTTTTAATGGCATTAAAAAAGATTAGCACTGACAGTTTGTTTTTTATATGCATTTCCTATGTGGGGCCGACTCTTCCAGGCCGTTTCCTTCAGCAGTATCTGGAGAGGATCTGATAAGCTTTATACCGCTTTGCGCGGGTCAGAGGGCACTGTCTTCCCCTGCACTCCAGCTGCCAGCAACAAAGTCCCACATATGTTATCACCATCACGCAGGAAGCTGYGAGCCTGCATGTGTCCAGCAAAGTACAAATGCAGGAAAAGTGTCAGGTTGGTTGAAAGCTGATGGAGCTCTACTAAGGTAATATTTAGCTAATAATRCTGTATAACCTAATAATACCAACCTATATGCTGTATATGTTTCAATATCAGAAAAAGGTTAAATTAACCTGATGTTAATTGCAGCCTAAATATAGGTTTAAACCTTTATTTAAACCTTTCCCTCCCTAAGAAGATGCAGCACAACTTTAAAAATAAATAAATAAATAAATAAAATTAGCTCCTGAGTAAAGAGCACAGCTGCAATGGGATAAAGTGCCAATTAATTATGAAGTTCATTTGAACAGAGACAGATTTCCCATTGCAATATACAGTGTATTAGCTCTCTGGTATCATACATTGCTGTCAGCCATGTCATCTGAGTGTTGGTGCAAGTAGGTTTTCTGTTTCTGTTTCTGAGTGGGAAATCAGTTTAATGGGAGCTTTATGTTTTCAGCACTGACAGTTTTCTGGAACCCTCCTCGTTAGTGCTAAATTTGGATCCATTTATAGCTTGTCTTCTGCTTCCGGTACATTGTTTACTGCCTCAGGAAAGTCTTCCTAATACATTATGCTAGTTCCTATCCTCTGGCTTTCACTCAACATGGAACAAATCAGAGCAGGCACACAGAGTTCCAGTTCCTGTCCCTAAGGTCCAGCTGAGTCTCTGCTGCAATGTAGGAAGTTCTAGGCTACACCATAAATAACCCATAGCAAAACCTATGGGAGCAGAGGGCTGCTGAAGCAGAGCTAAGCTCAGGGCTATGGACATAACTATGCRAAAGAAGTGAGCTCTAATTCCAGCGAGTGCAGCACTGCATCAGTGACCTGGACCGCTGCAAAGGGTGCCAAGGAGCTGCAATTTGTGTGTGGACCCTGTCTCATTGCATGTTATCTTTGTTTTCACAGATTCAGTGCCTATGCCTACAGCTTGATCTCAGAAGGTTTTCCTTCATTTGGAGACATCTGTAGATAGCTTTAAATTTGAAACAAGCACTAGAGCTTAGGTCATTCCCCCAGCATCAGTTATTCCCCCAGCATCCATGGCCAGTGCTCTGGCACGAGGGAGTGGTGTGTGGATGCCAAGAGCAATGAGTTGTAAGAGCCCTGTGAACAGGTGTGACGGTGCAGCAAATAGTTTCCCCAATCATGCCTGATGTGGGTATAAGAGCAGGAAATGCAGGTTTCACAGCAACTGAATTTCTGAGGGCATCTTAAATAACCCAAGGGACAGCAGGAGCTTGAGGAGGCCATGGACCTAAAGACAACTTTAAGCTACTGCCTTGGAGAGGACAGTAAGAGCAAGAAGTGGTTATTTGCTCTTCCTTCAGTCTGCGTTTCTGAGAAACATCTTTCATGGCAAAYAGGTGCTGTTGTTTTAAATAAACAAATAGCCAGCCAACCCTGCCACAGTCCTACCAGAATCTCTTCGTTTTTAATCCAGAAGTGAGTGAAAGTCCTTCTCAGAGGGGAAAAAAACAAAACCAACAAATTATAACTAAGCGATTTGCCATCGGATGCCTTCTATAGATGTCATGGGATGTCTTCTATAGAACTAGACTTTTCCCGATGAAAATTCTTAACATATATCTTATGAAAGTACTTGATGTTATCTCATAAAAATACATGAATGAATGTCTTATATTTGTAAAAATGGTGATGGGTGTGATAAAATCATCTCTGTTTACTTCGTAGGAGGGTAGGAAGGAATGATAGGCGGGATGAATCTGCATTGTACACACAATATATTTCACCTGTCTGTGGATAAAATCCTGAGTTAGGAATTATGTTGTTATAGGAAAGAAGGAAACAATCTGTATTCTTTTGGCAAGGATAAGGAATTTCTTTATTACTAATTAACCGTCTAGCTAGAATCCTGTCTTGGTTTTGATGTTCGTGAGCTATCTTAACACCCTAGGCAAGTCTCTGAAAAATTCCCATTAACAGGAGTGAAA